AACTTTTACAGCAATAAATATCAATTAGAAACATATCAGTCAATAACATCAGCACATCGAATACAAAATAAGAAATATCTAGCGAATTTAGATGAACAACTGACTTTGCTTAGTAATCGTATGAAATGCGGTGTTAGTTAGGGCTGTAGGATTTCGAATCCATTTCTTTTTGCGGAAAACATTCACATATCGGCGAAGAGAAAGTTGGGAGAGGTGTATGAATTCGTTTAATATGGAATAATTGATTTCAAGTGAATGAACTAGCTTATGAAACGTAAGACGCTCAAAAAAACAAACTAAGATTGACACTAAGAAAATTAAAATCGTGAGTCTGTACAAACTGTATTTATTCAAAGTATTTGCAGTGTTTTGGAGGAATATCGTCATGATTTCTTTGGCGAGGAGAGATCATAAAGCGAAGGCATGCACAAACAACACTATCACAATGAATCATATCGAGATGAGATTGCAATCCTGATTAATCAACTCGTATTAAGATTCGTAATGTACAATATCATTGGATTTCTGGTATCCGTGATCTTCACAACCGGAGAATATGTTGCGTGAAACGATGCGTCCCGGAGTTGGAGCTGCTCCACTGGAGAGTCTACTCACTCAGTGATTGCTATCCGGATCGAATCGTAAACTTCGAACGATTCCCTCCTGACGAATGCCTTTCGCTTGCATGGCTTTCGAGAACTGCGCCTGCATCGTATGATCAACTCGATCGCATGACGTACACGTCGACAAATTCAGTTCAACCAAGAATGGTAATAACATCAACGCACTGAAAATTAATTCCGCCGTTAATTTTATTCTGCCGAAGTAATTTTCGTGGATTTACAGCCCCAACATCTCGGACTTGTGGAACATTTCATGATGAAGTCAATTCCAGTGGAACTGATTCAGTTCCGTTACTGAATTGTGGTCAGAGTCAGAAAACGAACTTATAGAATCGTCGAAGTTGATCAGAAGTTGCGAAGAGTGCATTATAAATGTGAACACATTCTAAGGAGCGATGAGTTCGCAGGAACCAAATCAATAGTTCTGGATAAGCGGCTGCACAATGCTTCACACCGAGCTGAAAAATTCACAGATCCAAGAATATGTTCATATTAACTGCACATAAACTTGATATGGCTGGTTCTCTCAAAACCGGAAAGGAAGCATATGAAGACTCACATTGACCCGTTTCAAATGCGGAAGAATGGTTTGTGTTTCGTGCATTGAGCAAAGAATTCGGAATAAACTATCCGATTTGCATTGCATTTCGAACACCTCCAATTTACGCAATTGTCTGATCGGTGGAATTTCTATACGATGAGCACAACCTGGAATGATGGATGGATGAGCTGACGTTCAAATGACACTTGGAATTGTTTAACTCAAAAACTGTGAGATACAACGAATGCACAAACCTCGTCCAGCACTTTTTCGAGACTCAAAACCATCCAGTTTGAGCACCTTGAGATTGTGAAAAAATGGCAGCGCAAGTACGGCATCTTTCTCGAAATTTGGCTTACCATA